CTTACACCGTCTACACCTTTCACATCGTCCACACGGTTTCCACCGTCTACACCGTTTACACCATCTATACCATCTACACCGTTTACACCGTCTACACCGTCTTCACCGTTTACACCGTCTACACCGTTGAAACCGTTCCCGGTGTAAACAGCGTGGTCAGCGCAACCAGCGTAAACAGCGCAACCAGCGTAATCAACGTAACCGTAACCAGCGTTTCCAGCGTAAACAGCTCAATCAGCGTAACCAGCTTAACCAGCGTATAGCCAGCGTAACCAGCGCAATCAGAGTAATCAGCGTAACCAGCGTAAACAGCGTCATCAGCGTAACCAGCCTAACCAGCGCAGGCAGCGCAGCCAGCCACCGCCAGCGTAAACAGCGTAACCAGCGTACAATCACTCGCGGACGCGCGTTGCCACGTCGCTCAACAGTCACGTTTGGGCTTTGCAAAGTATATTTATATAGACATGTCAGTGTCTCGTTCTTGATTCTTGAGCCGTGCACTTTTACCAGCTTCAAGATGTTGGGGGCTTCCTTCCAATCAACAACCAACTGCTGACCTCAGGGCTCGTTTTGGAAGCTGTGGTTGGGAAACTCTCTCGTGGGCTGGGGGGCGCTGGATGATTGCAGTGTCTCAGGCCATCGCCCAACCCCAATTCACCCCAACTGAGTGATGCAAAACTACTCTACCCCACCTCAACACTTCCGCAAAAAAACCTGGGTGTGCGCCCTTGTCACAGATCAGCGCCTCAGACACATGGTGGAAGTGAGCACTTGAAGTGGACGGTGTTTGAGTCTGTGAATCATTTGCCTTCATTTGTGATAGACATGGGTCAGACTTAGGACACGAAGTGTGCAACGGAAAGGTATTTTCAAGACTGAACTGATTGTGCGATTGGAGACTGGAGTAAGAAATTGTGTGCCATTATGGGCAAGAAGAGCTGTTGAAGCTGTTCTATGTTGTTGTTGCGATCCGACGCTAAGGCTCTGACTACCAAGCGTCACCTGGGCTGGAGTTGTCAATAAAATTTTCCACATATTAACGAACCTTTGAATTTTGGAAGCAGCGAACTTTCTCCTTTCGGGCTCGCCATTTTGTCGGCTGCGATGTATTTGAGGTACACCGGCGCAAGCGTGCATGGAACCGTAACCATATCGTACACGACCTTGCCCCCCACTACGACCACAACAGTTACTTCTACTACATCCAGCTCCTTAACGTTGACTTCCTCAACATCGTTGTCCGCCACCTCCACGACTTCAATATCTACAACGTCGACCACGGCATCTGAGACAACAACAACAACAACGACAGAAACAGAGACTACAACGACCGACTGCAGACGCAGACGGCGTTGGTATTGTGAGTGGTACCGAAGATTATCAAACAAGAAGGGCGAGGAAAAAGAGGATCCGGAGGAGGTGGAGGACCAGGAGGAGGAGGAGGACCAGGAGGAGGAGGAGGAAGAGGACCAGGAGGAGATTATCAGATCACAGGCTGAATCAAACTCAGGTTCAAGTCCGAGGAGGTTATCAGGGCGGAAATTGTCCAGTCGGAGACGACGAACAACTACAAGCTGGACAACTACAGAGACCACTGCAACAACGACATCCGCAACATCAACATCCTCAACATCAACATCCTCAACAGCGTCGACAATCTCTTCGACATCTACAGCTACAACATTGACTACTTCGATCACGAGTTCGACCACTTCGACAACAACTTTCATTCTAATACGTGACTCAGTTGCCTCTCACCATTTGTGTTAGTTGTTTGTGAAGTCCAGCGGGCCTCGTTTAGCTGCATACATTGCAGCCGTGTCCAGTAGCATTTTTCATTTCCCCGGTGTAACTCAGGCTATATCTACTGGAGTGAAAGCGAAGATCGCCTTTCCACAGAATTGTACCAAGAAGATCCGACTTTGTTCTGGACCATCATTTTCGTCCAGAGTGGAATTGTCAGATTGAAGAATGTGGGCACTGGTAGCTTCCTGGCTGTGTCTGAGTCCATCCTGACACTAGAGAACACCAGCAGCTCCGAGGGCCTGTGGACATATACAGTGGATGCGTATGGTCTGGTGCAGCTGCAAAATGTCGCATCCGCCAAGTATTTGTGCACTCAGGAGGATCCCGACGTGCGTGATCTTTGTCCTCTTGATGTGAATTGGACAGTGTCCTTCATCACCAATGCAATTCCTCTTGACGTCTTCACCTCGGTGACAATAACAACCACCTCTGAAACCCAGACATCAATGACGCTTGGTGACAGGGTCACGCAGCGATCTTTGCAAGTTTGGCGCTTTTGTTTTTTAGTAAAACTATACAAGCATAGACCCCAAACAGCTTCAAAACGATTCGTTTAGATCAATATTAGTCAAAATCGATTTCTTGGTACGCCCTACTTTCACCCCAAGAGCAAACTGCTTCATCAATGAAATTTTGTCGGCATTGACATCGCTATTTGTTCGGCCACACTCCTCTCCAGTAAGCCGGGCCACAGAGCCCAGCCACAGTTCAGGGGCGCGGCCAAGACAAGGACAAGAGGAGGACAAGACCCGGACACAGAGCCCGCGCTCACGCTCCAGAAAGGCGCTTAGAGCGCGCTCTGCAGAGAGAAAGACAGAGAAAGAGAAACTTAAAGAGAAAGAGAGAGAGAGATGTGAAATTCAACGTGACACTGTTCCCAACATTGAGGGAGATAAGATACCTCAACATTGTGGCTCAACACTAGGGCCCTTGAGCACATTCAACATACAAACAAAAGGCGCGAGCATTTCAGCAAACAGTTCAACAATACTTCAAACTTT